GTCAGCCTACCTGCTCCTCTGATGCTGCTTGGCCTGCTGTGTTCATCCAGCTCTACACCTTGTTATCTCAGATTCTCCAGCATCTGCAGTTCCTACCAGATAAGGCATACATTTGGACAAAACATTCAGGATTGGTCACGTGCAAATATAATTCCAAGTAAGAAATATACTTGGCACAGAGACTTGTGTATAAAAAGCCCGAAGAAATCTTTGTTCAGCAACACTTCAAAGACCAACATTGTAAAGGAGGTATCCTACATCAGGTGGTGTGAAGATGTCAAGCAGTTTCAGCTTGGCCAGCTGCGAACTCTCCCGGGTAATAACGTTTGGGTTTAGTTACAGAAATCAGGGTAGTGAAAGACAACTACTAGAGATATCTCTAGTAGTTAAGTGTTATTCGTTTAAGTACTTAATAAATGAATTATGGTTTTATAGAGCTCGAAGTGTCTCTGCTGTATCTTTGTCTAGTGGGGTCTCTCAGAGATGGGCAACAGAAGGGCTACACAATAAAAGTAAACAATAGTTTTATTCTCAAGTACTGCAACATCTTTCATACATTGAGAGCAAATTAAGACTACAATTCAACTGCTTTACATTTCAGATTTATACTATGAACTCGTTGTTTTTAAATTAAAAGAAAATTTTGACCAGTCTTCTGTGAAAGACAGCTTCACGGGATTACTCAATTACTGCAGTCAATTGATGGATTTCACACAGATCTTATCACATGAATTCTCAGTTTCACAGCACTACTTTAGTCAAAACAGCAGCTTTTTATACCCTAGGTACACCAGAACCCATCCAAGTCACTGCATCACCAATGATGATGGACGTGGAGGAGTAAAGAGCTTTTCCCTGCATCAAACACCGAACATCTTTGAAACTGGTTTTGTTCAAAACAGGAGTTTATTAATAAACTACTCACGGGATGAAAGGCTTTGTAGGAATGATTTACATCACTTGGTCTGCTTCTGAATTAAGGATTCCACAACTTTATTGCCCAAATTGGATCCCTGAATGCTTAAAAGAAGCTTAAAAAAAACTGTTTGCCAAATATAGGGCCTGCATAAGCCAAGAGCAAGAGACTTTAAGGAACCAGCAAAACAAACACTAATCATCTCTATCTGAGAAATAACACCCCCTTTAATGTATTGCACCTGCATTTAAAAAGTCTTGACCCAGTTAAAGGTAGCATCTTTCACTTGGATCTTAAATGATTTGACACTGAATGAGATCAATTTTCATGAGCTATGGTTGAAATTAAAAGGCAAAAGCCTCAAAAGTTAATAATTGTAGGATTACAGAGAGTCATGCGGTATTTGGTACAGGAGCAAACAGATTCAAGGTTTAAATGTGTGACTGAATCATGACTTTGGGAGGAAGGGATTTGAGTTCACAGGGCACTGGCATCAGTATAGGGATAAAAAGGAAACTCAGCCATTAGAAGCACTGCGCTAGTGAATTAAATAACTAAGGTGATGGCAAGTGCTTTAAAATACTGGAAATGGGAGAATAAGCTAAGGATGAAGTTGCAAGTCTGAAGTGAAATGCCAAACCATGTAGAGATTAGCATTTTTTGGAAAGACAAGCAGCATGCCAGGAAGGGACAACAGCATATATCAAATCAGAGTAGACAATATGGTCCATCGAGTCTGCTCCACTTTTCAAGATGATCCTTAATGATCTTGGGCTTTAACTTCACTTTTCCTCCCAATCCCTCTACTTCTGTCTACCCAGCCTTGTATATATTCAACTATGCAACATCGCATAATCCTCTGGGCTACGTAATTCCAAAGGTTCACAACCCCTTGAGCAAAAGGAGTTTATCCATCCAATACATGTTAAATGAAATAAATGCATAAGCCAGAGTGGTTTACTAGACTAACTAGAATGGGGGAATAGTCTTACGTGAAAAAGCTGAAGAGGATATGCTTGCATCTAATTACAGTTAGAAGAGTAAGAGGCAACTTGAAGGATTTTTGAGAGGGTAGGGACACTACCTCTGCACATAATTGCATCTGATCTAAAGTTGTGTAACATCTCTGAACAGGTTGATTAGAAAAATAAGTGTTTAAAAAAAGGTTAAAAAAAATTAAGAGGCAACTTTGATTTGAATTGAAAGAGCAGATGCGGAGAGAATGTGTTCTCTTATGGGAGTACCTAGAACTCAGTGTCTCTATTTAAACATAAGGGGTTGCCTACTTAAAAAACAGTAGAGGCAAGAGGATTAAGTACTTTTGGAACCCTCTTCCTGAAATCCACAGTGAAAGCAGAATCTTTGAACATTTTTAAAGGCAGCTACGGATTGAATATTGGGAATGAGAGGGTGACAGTATCAGGGGTAGGTAGGTAGGAATACAGATTTAAGATTACAAATCAGATCAACAATCTTTGTAAGTAATAGAACAGGCTCAAAAAGGGGTGAATGGCCTACTCCTGTTCCTTGATTGTACGCAAACTGCATCACATGCTAAATTAAAAAACTAAAACTACTGACACTATATTGGAATACTCAATGAATCAAAAGGCACAAGTAGAATTAAACAGGTTTGATCTTACAGCCATTATTGAGACATTGGTTCAGAAATCAAAAGAAAACGGAAAGAGAGACAAGAGTCGAAAATTAGGAAGATAGTGCTGATCATAGAAGATAGAAGCATGCTGAAAAACCATATCTTAAGAAAAAAAATCAGAATATAGAAGGAGCACAAATGTAGTTTAAAGTTTCCCCGTTAGTAATTGGTATCTTCATAATCAGATTACACAGGAAATTAGAGAAGTTTATAGAATACAATAATTGTACAATAAATAATTGTACAATAAAAAAAAGGGTACCAAGACTTTCCAACCAACAAAGGGAAGTTTCTGAGAGAGAACTGAATAAGGCAAAAAAAAAAGGACAGCTGCTTGCGGCAATAATCCCTTCTACCAGCCAACAGATGAAGTCCTCCACTGTACAAGGTTACAAATGGGCTCACAGACCTACAGTAGACTCTCAGGCACTAATACATCACTTCCACACAACTGTCTGCAGAAAAAGAAATATTCAAGATCACAGTTGATGAGATTGGGGTTATTTTGCGGAGGTACCAAATTTGAACTCAGATTTGCTAAAGCGCCCCACAAGAAATTATACATGACACTGGAGCTCATAACTTTGCCAAAGACTGAGCATTGGTTAACAAACAGAAAAACAAAGAAACAAACATTTGAGTTGACAGGTAATAGCTAGAGGGTGCTGCAAGCACCATTGCTTGGAGCTCAGTTATTTACAATAAATTGTAATTAGAATAAGGAGAACCAAACAATCCTTTCAAACTTTTACTCAAACTTAAGATAATAAAGCTCTGAGAAGGAAGAATAGGTTAAAAGAATACAGACAGGTTGAAGCATGATAGCTGGAATATAATGGAAGGGACAGAAAAGCAAGACCAAATCAGGAAAATAGCAAATTTCCTTTCGGTTTTAAAAAAGGGTGAAAGACCAGCAAGTATTAATATTCAGGGAACGTGTGCATTCCTGCATACAAATCAAAAGGAAGCTGGCAAGCAAGCAATTAGGAAAGCAAATGCTATACCAGCCTTCATTGTAATGGGGTTGAGCATACACAGTAAGGAAGGCAACTTAGATTTCCTTCCAAGGCACACACATGCCTTAGCGGGCATGCAACAGCGATTGATTAAACTGATTCCTAGGAGGTGTCTTGTTAAGAACAAAGTAAAATGAGCCTTTTTCACTGAAGTGGAGGAAAAAAAAAATCAGAGGTGATCTCATTGAGACAGATATCATTCTTAAAGGGCTTGAGAAAGTAGGTGGAGAAAGGCTGCCTCCCCAGTTGAAGAGTTAAGAACTAGGGGATCAAAATCTCAGGATTTGGGGTTTGTCATTTTGAGTGAAGGTAAAAGGATATTTTTTAAACTGAGAATTTTTGGTATTGTCTACTCCCAGAGGACTGTGGATGCTTAGTTATTCAATATACTCAAGCATCAGATCTAGTGAAGCAGATTTAAGGGATCATACAGCTTACTCCTGTTCCTTTTAGCTTGCCCAAAATGGCGGCATCTATTGCCAAAGATTCTGCCGATTGAATCTGAGTCAATTAGAAGATGGACACTATCGCCTTTGGTGTCAAAAGCAAGGTAAAGGGGACTAGATATATCAGCGCATTACAAATCATCAATAATTTCTTGACAATTTATGCCTCA